AACTGCTCCTTTCCCTCCCCATTGTTAAGTTTCCTCTCCACAAAAGGGCTGTGCTGCCTTAATCATTACAGTTGGTATTTTTGTGCTTTTTTAATCATATTTTTTCTTTATTTTAAACACACAAATATAGACATACATAAACATACAAACACTAATGAGGGGGCAATTCTGATTCCAAAGATTTAACACGCTTATGCCGAATTTGTAATACCTTTATATAGACCATCTCATAGGTTTAAAGTCTTTTTTGCGCATATGTAAAGTTATATTTTCAATGTTCTCCAAAAATAATTTTTAGTTGACTGTATTGCTTAAATTAGTATAGTTCTCAAACCAAATATAAAATCTTGACCATGTATTTTCGAATGTACTTTCCGGTTGATTTTTCAACAATAAGGTCAATTTATCCATTTCTGCTGTTTCCAAAATTTTGTTAATTTCTCCTCTGGATGGTGTTTCTGCTCTTCTCCAATATTTAGCATATAATATTCTAGCAGAGGTAATCAAATACAATATCAGGAATTTCCCCCCCACATTTTAATGCTTTTTTAACAGGTATATATGCAAACCAGCATAAGAGATAAAAAATCTCATAAACCGGTCAGGATGATCTCTCTCTCACTTTCCCCAACTTCTCCCAGCCCCTCCCCCTATTTTTTGCCTGAGGACTGCCCCCACCTATTTCTTCCAACTGTAAAGTGGGGGGAAGGGGGAGAGACTGGAAAAAACTCAAAATATTTTCTTGTTAGGAATAAAATCCTTAAAACATGGTTTCACTAATTAAATATGTGAAGTTATTTTTACATAAAAACAATCTACAGCAGTAGACAATAACACCTATATTTACGAGAAATATACAATGCACGCATATTGTTTAAATGCAAGTAATTTTTTCTATAATGTATATAAATGAACTTATATTGATATGAGAAGTTCAGTGTTATAAAGTTTAAACTGATATCTAAATATGCTGGTAATTCTATTGTGACAGCATAACAGCATCCAAATAATTACTTTGTGTTTTGTATTCTCAACTTTTATCCCCCCCCCCCACATTGCAGATGGTAGTCATTGGAATCGATATGCTAAGGTTGCATGAATCACACAGTGGGTGTAGCACTCTCATATGTGATATATTCTGAATTCTGTTTGAGGAAAACTAAGACACTTTCACTTAATAAACAGTCCAAAAGTAGAACGTTGTATGCTAAGTTATAAAATGTTGCACTTTATGTTGTTAAAGTAGTAAGAAAAGTTTGTATTTGAGGAGTACTGCATCACATCAAGGTCCATCTGGCCACCAGCATGTGGATTCTAACAGTGGCCGGAAGTGATAACAACAGCCTTCCACAGTTTAGCACTTAGCCACTGATGTTTCGTGGTACAATGCTTCCAAATGTGGAAATTCCAAAACAGTGGCTAAAACAAAAATTGAAAGACCATGTAATGGATCTCTCTTGTGCAGCACCACATTTCTGACAGGATCAAAACAGAGACTGCCAGCCCCACTGTGCTTCTGAAAATGGAGACTCCCCTCTCTCTTTTCACAGCTAACAGCTACTGATATCCTTCTACCTCCACAAAGTTCTCAAATCTTTTCTAAGAATTGCCTTGCTGGGAAGTCCCAGCTAGACAATAATCCCATTTTTACTGGTGGTAAACCAGATGCCTCTGGGAAGTCAAAAAGCAGGGCACGAATCATCATAGGCATATCTCTATACATGGAGGTCCCATTCTGAATCCTCTTGGCCAATAAGCCTTGTCGCATTAGACCAAAGGTCTCTCTGGTTTCCAATTTACTGTTATTGCTGAAATTGTGTGGTAGGTAATATTCCATTTTTAAAATTTGTTATGGAAGCCATATTGAGCTTAAGTACAGGTGGGAAGACATATTTTAAAAATGAAATTGGGCATATACTATTAAAATAGCCTTCAAAAAGCTTAGGGAGATATCCCACCCACACACACTGAATTTTGCCACAGGCTCCCCAAAGACAGCTGCAGGAAAATAAAAATAACAGGGAAGTTTTAATTTCATTGCCTGCCCCCTCACTCCACTGCTGACAGAAGAGCCAAAAGCCACATTCCATCTGGAGCTGTTTTTCTTGTATTGTTTGTAAGCTGCCCTAGGATAATTTGATTTAAAGATGGGATAAAAGTCTTTCAAATGAAAAGGAGAAGCCCAGCAGTTGGAAATTCACATGCAAATTTAAACTGATCAAACTTGCATTCAATAGGTCTGGGGGTGGCTTAACTCTGATTGACAATTTTGGCTAATTCAATCACAGGGGGAGTTGTCCTAAATTATTAGACCCCTTTTTTAAACTGGCTCTCTTGCTTACCATCAGGGCATGGCATGTAACTTAACCCATGTCTTGGAATGCCTAGCCTTTCTGGCATCTCTTTGTAACACGCTCCCCCTGATACTTCCCAGTGAGAGCCTTCCTTCGTTCATCTGATGAAGTCAACTCTGCCTCACAAGAGCACACGACACAAGGCATTTGTTATTCTGATCCTTTGCCGCTGCTGAAACTCTTGCCACTTTAACAATATTCCTGATTTTTCAGTGTTGTAATTTTACTGGTTTGTGAGATTCCTTGGATTTTTTTTCATGGAAAGGCAGGACAGAAAAAAACCCTTTTGTATTATATGTATTTTTATTAGAGATCACTGTGGATATTCATCCTATATCTCCTATATCCTATATGTTGTCTCTACCCTGCCAGTCAACCAAAATCCTCCTTCTTCTCTGTGCATGTGCGTGCACACACACACACATGAATGAATTTGACAGGGGTATTACAATATCAATACACATAGAGATCATCAGAAGTCATCTATGGACAACTTCAGTCAGACAGCAGGGCACTAACAAAATAGACATTTTCATTATTTACTTCTGTTTCCACCCCCAAATCAAAGTTTCCCAAACAGTTTCTGAATGAACAGAAAGTAAAAAAAAATATATGAAAATATTCCATATTCATACCTGCCAACAGGAAGGACAAAACACCCTTACCCTGTGGTGTGTGTGTGGGGAATTTGAATTTCCTGCAATGTGCAGGGGGTCAGACTAGATGACTCTGGGGATTCCCTTCCAACTATATGATCCTACTATTGTTTCACATCCCCAGCACTCGTGGTGGGAAGTGCCGTCAAGCGGCAGCCGATTCATGGCGACCCTGTATACGGTGTCCAAGTCCAGAGATTCCCCGGAGTGGTTTGCCATCGCCTGCCCCAGCGCAGCGACCCCGGCCTTCCTTGGCGGTCTCCCATCTAACCCCTACCCAAGACCCACGCAACATTCCCTCTAAGCACTGGATTCCTGTAAGCAAAAATTCGAATCTGTGAGCTCCTGGCATTAAAGTTGTGAGCAAGCAATTTGGCTGCTGCATAGATTAGTCGGCTCTGGAGCCCTCCTTCCTGAGCAGAGACAAAAATGTGTGAGCCGGAGGCAAAAAAAACTGTGAGCCAGCTCACGCTAAATCAGCTTAGAGGGAACACTGGTCCCACCTTGCTTAGCTTCCGAGATCAGGCCAGCCTGGGCAAACCGCAGGGCCTGCAAGACGGAGCTCTTCCACCAGGTTTCCGGTCGAGGCGGCGGGGAGGGGCGGCACATCAATCCGATAAATCAGTCAACAAACAAGATAAATCGGATAAATAAGTCCCGCTAACCCACCCAGCAGGAGACCCTCGTCCCGTATTTTTCCCTTCGCGTCTCCGGCATTTATTGTTTCAATCCGCCGTTTCCGCCCAGGAGCTCATGGCGGCGGTCCCGGCTCTCCCCCTTCCTCCGGCGAGAGCAGGCCCCCGACTCCGTCCACAGACACACACCCCCGCGGCTTTGCCTCTCCGCGGCCCTTTCCCGCGCCCTTCCCCCTCCGCCCGGGCCGAGTCTCCCGCCGAGGCCTTTCCTCTCCCCCCTCCCCCTCCCGCGGCCTACCTGAGGAAGCCGGAGCAGAATGCCGGCGGCCTGGATGAGCTCGCAGCCGGTGATGCGGAGCTGCCCTTCGGTCTCGGCCTCCAGGCCGCTGCCCATGGAAGGCGTGAAGCGGAGCGCGTCGTCCGAGAGGAGGCAGTTCTCCAGCGTGATCAGCACCCCCGAGTACAGGCGGTCGCCGATCCGGACGGCGCCCGGAGGGGGCGGCTGAGGGGGGACCAGGAGGCCGCCGGAGGGGAAGGACGACGACGGACCCGGGCCGGGCGGCATCCCCGGGCCGAGCCCCGCCAGGGCTGCTGCCGCTGCCGCCGCCGCTACCCCTCCTCCGCCACCTCCTCCCGCCGCCGCCATTATCGCCGCCGCCATCTTGTCTCGACGACGACGTCGCGGATTCACCTCACACACGGACGGACTGAATCGCCTCGTCCTTTATGCCCTCCCCCTCGCTTCCGCCCTCTCGTCGCTCCTCTTCCTCGCCATTGGCTGCCCGCAACTGGCCGCCGCGTTCCCATTGGACGCGGGGGTTCCTCATTGTGACGCAGCGGCCAGGAATTTGATTTCCCCCCCTCCCCCCCTCCGAAACTAGGCGAGGCGGGTGAGAGGGTTAGTCAAGGGGAATGACGAGAGCTCCCAGCGTCCACCGCGCGTACCCACTAACGGCCGCCTACGAAAGGCCTGTTTCCCCCCCCTCTCACGACGTTGGGCTGTACCACGTTCTATTATAGGGGTGGTTTGTGCCATCCAGAGGCCTTCACACATCTCCCCATATCCGTCCACATATAAAATTAACATACTACAGAGAAGTCGAACCCGCAACGCTTCTCCCTATCATGCTAATTTCCTGCGTGGAAGGAAATATTTAACATACTGGCGCGTTCAATGGTTTAAACATTCCCCTACCGTTTCCAATGGTACAACCCAACCACAGGTTGATTATCTCTATGGGAAAATTCAACCAGGACTTCCCCATAAAGGTTGCTCCGGGCTAATGATCCCAAATGTGTTTTAATTTGGAAACAGAGTTCCAGTCCTGTTCAAAGAGGAAGATCACAGCAATTAAAATAGCATGGCCTACATTTTAATCTGACTGGCTAGGTTAGATGGTCACTCCTTTGGGAAGATTTTGATGTAAATAAAGCCCTGACCTGGATTAACCCAGGCTAATTTATTTGGATGGGAGATCTCCAAGGGATTTTGTTGTTGTTGTTCAGTCGCACAGTTGACCCCATGGACCAGATCACACCAGGCCTTCCTGTCTTCCGCCGTCCTCTGAAGTTGGCTCAATTTCATGTTCGTTGCATCGATGACACTGTCTAACCATCTCATCCTTTGCCGTCCCCGTCTTCTTTGACCTCCAATCTTTCCCAGCATCAGGGTCTTCTCCAGTGAGGGCTCCCTTCTCATTTGGTGGCTAAAGTATTTGAGCTTCAGTTTCATTATCTGGCCTTCCAGGGAACAGTCAGGGTTGATTTCTTTTAGGATTGACTGATTTGATCTCCTTGCAGTCCAAGGGACTCTCAAGAGTCTTCTCCAGCACCATCGTTCAATAGAATCTATTCTTTGGCGCTCGGCCTTCCTTATAGTCCAACTTTCGCAGCCATACATGACTATTGGGAATACCATTGCTTTGACCATGCGGACGTTTGTTGGCAGGGTGATGTCTCTGCTTTTTATCATGCTGTTTAGGTTCACCATCGCTTTCCTCCCCAGGAGCAGGCGTCTTTTAATTTCATGGCTGCAGTCACCATCTGCAGTGATCTGGGATCCCAGGAACGTGAAGTCTGTCACTACTTCTACGACTTCCCCTTCTATTTGCCAAGGAGTGATGAGGCCAGATGTCATGATCTTAGTTTTTTTGATGTTGAGCTTCAAGCCCACTTTTGCGCTCTCCTCTTTTACCCTGAGCAAGAGGCTCTTGAGGTCCTCTTCACTTTCTGCCATCAGAGTGGTATCGTCTGCATATCTGAGGTTATTGATCTTTTCCCCAGCAAACTTAACTCCAGCTTGTGATTCATCAAGGAATACCAGGGCTCAAACACAGAAGCAGGCAATTGCAAAACTACCTTTGAACATCTTCCTGCCCTGGAAAACCTGACAGATGTGTCCTAAATCAGCTCTGACTTGATGGCAAAATAAATCAAACTGGGGTGTATTCAATATTTATTCCTCTTTTCTATAACACACATTTTTAAAAACCTCACTTTCAAAAGTAAGGCACTCTGCACATGGCCCAGAAACATGATACTGATGGAACAGAGAGAATATGGGGAGTGGGGAGAAGAACAAAGGGTCTTCAGAATGTCTCAAATGAGATCAGAAGCTTATCTGCTTGCTTGCTGACATGCGGAAGTTAGCCATGGGAACAGAACAAAAATGCAACTTTTAAAGTTGTTTGTGTAGGGGTATAAAAGCCCACCCTGTGTCATCGTTTTGCCTTTGACCCCGTTATTCCTGGAATAAAGTTTCCCCCCCTCTATTCAACTGAGCGCCTGGCCTGTGCGTGTGTTAATTGTGTCAGGTTAACAATTCCATTTTGGCAACTATACCAAAAACAATCTAGAAACAAAAGGAAGCAACTCCTGCTCAGTAAGGAAAGGCTTTGTGTATGCTTGAGCCCGTTTCTTTTCAAGTGACTGGCCCTCTTCACAAGAGATGTAACTATCAGCACTTAACAGACCATACCCACCTTCCGAAACATGGAAGCTTGAGGTGCTCAATTTCTATTTTTTTTCTTCAAGGTACCCACACTTTAAAATTTCAAAGACCTCAAACAGACAAGAATCTGTTCCCTCTCCACACACAATTTGTTGTTCAGTCGCAGTCGAGTCCAACTCTTCGCGACCCCATGGACCAGATCACGCCAGGCTTTCTGGTCTTCCGCCGTCCTCTGAAGTTTGCTCAACTTCATGTTCGTTGCATCTATGACACTGTCTAACCATCTCATCCTTTGCCATCCCCGTCTTCTTTGACCTTCAGTCTTTCCCAGCATCAGGGTCTTCTCTAGTGAGTGCTCCCTTCTCATTTGGTGACCAAAGTATTGGAGCTTCAGTTTCATTATCTGGCCTTCCAGGGAACAGTCAGGGTTGATTTCTTTTCCACACACAATGCTGTATTTCAAATATACACACTTCCTAACCCCACTAAAAGATCAACAAAACCCAGGATAGGAATTTCCTTGATTTTGCCTGCTTCCTGCTCTCTGCCACTAGCTTGTGGAAGTTTCTCAACCCACATCACATCCCTGGAGATGGAACATCTCCACTTGCACACCCAAATTCATCCCACAAACCAGAGTTTCACTGGCTCTATACCAGAGAGACAAAGGACACAACAGTAGCCATAAACAATTTAAAGAGTCCTTTTAATTAAAAGAATATATAGTGCAGAAAGACTCATAAGGCAGTCTTAATTGTGGATCTGCATCTGGAGGAATTAATCTGCTCTTCCCCGACTCCCGACATAGCTTTTGATGCATTTAAACTGCTTTCTCTCAAGCCAGGATGTAGACAATGGACTCCATAACCTCCTCTTCTGCAGGTGAACAAGGGAGGCTTTGGCATTTGAATCTTAAATGAGAGGGAAATCGTGATGAGCAAATGAAGTGGCCAAAGGGCTCTGTTCAAGCCTCTGTTCACACTAGGAGGGGAAAGTTCTTTGCTGAAGACAAACTTGCTGGATCTCCTGTCCCGGTGTTGAAAATACAGGCCCTATTAAATTTTAATTGCTACGTAGGCTCCTGTACAAACAGTGGGTTATAATCTTCAAAGTTAAGAAAGGACGATCCCACCCCCATCAGAGATCCGACTTGCTTCGCTTTACAACCTGAGGCTACGTTTTGCAAAACCAAAGTGTTTCCTTTTAATTTTAGTACATCTCAGCAAGCGGGCCGATCACCGCAGCTTTAGTAATACGGCACGTAGCGTGAAAATATTCCCTCCGGTTCTTTTCCTTCCTTAGCAGCGACAAGGCCTTCTTCTCCCCTCCTTTTAGCCAATGCCGCCAGGGACTTGAATGTCTTGGGTTCGTAGATCGCCATGTCAGCCAGGACTTTCCTGTTCAGTTCCACCTGACACTGAAATGCAAGAAAACAACAGTCACAGATCTAGACGGTATTTTACACCTGCCATGTTCTCCCATGTTACTCCAACCGTTATCATCAGCATGTTGGAAACAATGTGGAGAGAAAGGAACGTTCCTGCACAGCTGGTGGGCATGCACAGAAGTCAAATACTGGACTCAAATTTTGACACACGTTAAAGACTATACGGGATACGACATACCAAAAACTCCTAAAGTGGTCCTCCTTAACTTGTGGGATATTCTGAGAATCCCTAGGGCACATAAAGAGCTACTCCTGATGATGGTGACAGCAAAGCATCTTCTCGCCCCACAATGGAAAACCAAAAACATTCCTACCTTACGACAGTGGATTAACAAACTCAAAGAATATTGTATTCTTGGTAAAATTTCAGACGGTACTGCAAGAACTGAGAACAAGCAGACTCAAGCCGATCTGTTAGAAAAATGGTCTCTAATTTTAAACAAACTGGGGTCCGGGTTCTCAGGATGTGCATTAATAGTATAAAATATTTAACCTCTCCTACTAGGTCTTATGGGGCACAACGGTGGCTCAGAGGTTAAGACGCTGAGCTGCAGACCAGAAGGTCTGTAGTTTGGCAGTTTGAGACCCGAGTGTGCGGCATGATGGAGTGACCTCCCGTCTCTAGTTCCAGCTCCTGCCAGCCCAGCAGTTCGAAAGCAAGAAATTGCAAGTAGATAAATAGGTACCGCTTTGGTGGGAAGGTAACAGCGTTCCGTGTGCCTCAACGTTTAGTCATGCTGGCCACATGACCGCGGAAACGTCTTTGGACAGCGCTGGCTCTTCGGCTTGGAAACGGAGATGAGCACCGCCTCCTAGAGTTGGATTTAACTAGCTTTCGAGGAAGGGAAACCTTTACTAGGTCTTATTAACTCCAGGCATTTGTATGGGTCAGTTGGAGGTTGTTAATTCTTGCATTCTATTGTATATAACTAACAAAAATGATCAAACACTCTGTGCTCAATACTGCGAAGTGCCCTTCTGACACGTAAACGTGTAAAAACGTGCATGTATATTTCAACACCTGTGCATGATGCATTATATGCTTTGTCACTTTGCAATATGTCCTTCAATAAAATGT